GGTGAATACAATCAATATTTGCAGCTGCAAGTAACGGTATAATGGAATTTATTAATAACATTTAATGAAAAAATTTTGCCGTGAAAAAGAAAATAATGCCAGTTATTTTTATCAGTAATTCAGAATTAATTTAAATGAAAGTTATCTCGGCTGCTAATTAAATGTTTTAATTCCTGCCGAGTTGACCTATTACTCCAATGAAGCGCGACAGAGGCACTTTCCATGGAGAATTAACAGCCAATCATCGAATCGATTTTATCTTGTCAACGCACTTTTTCTCGCTCTCCCGATGGAAATGCTCTTTTACAATTCGCTCTTTTTATTCTTTCCGTTTTATTTATGTTTTCGAAACCTGACGTCAGCGGCATTTCAGCCGCGATACTAGAGAAGAAACTTTTCTATATTGTCACGTGGGACGACAAGGCCCCACCAGTGACGCGGCGCACTACAATGAGAGTCATAAGCATAGCTCATCAGCGGCGGCAGTATCAGTACATCAAGCGACGAGGAGACACCTTGCGCGAACGGCCCCTCCCCTCTGATATATTTTGAGCCTAATTAGTTATTTCGCCTTTTATTTAACCCCTTCCCACGTAACAATATAAAACACGCGTATCATCAACACCGACAGTGCAGTACAACGTGTATCGCTTAGTTGGATTGTTGAAAATTTATTAAGCGATTTACGATTTTTCCGCAGGCCTCTTTTTCGCGCATTCGCTCGAACTAATTTACACTCAAAATGTGGCTCCGAAGCGCCGCGTTGTCGTACGGGTCGGGCGCGCATATAGTCGCGCTGCCACACGACGTTAGAAATTTCCGCAAACCGCATCACATCCGCGCTCACTGCATCTGGCAGGCAAACTTTCACATGCACGGGAGACGAAACACCGTGTTTATATACACTAACGTATAATTTATTTATATCATAAAGCACATCCCGTACATACAGACTCGCGCGCAGACAAGGTATATACAACGACGCGTACGTCATCATATATAGGATCACCGCAATTTATAATATATTGCGCAGGGATTTTATACGCTCGAAGCGACGCTGACTCGAGCGTCAAATTTCTCCTTGCGTGCTCTCGAGCTGTGTGTACGAGGCGGCCTCGGCTACAGCTCGCCCGTCGATCCATCATTTTTATGCTCATCTTGTGCCTCGGTGCCGAGTAAGAGACGCGCCGCGTGACGAGAACGAAAGGAGGTGGTGGCTGCGCGGCGCACTTCACGATTTACAATGTGTGGGTGTGTATACATCGCGAGTAGAGAGCAGCCGCAGCTATATAGGCAGCCCTTTGACGTACCCTTTGTGCGTGATTTGCGACGAGGATGCACCGCCCGTGCAGGCACGAGTTCCCGCAACAAAGCTCATCGACCTGGAATTGATTTTTAGTTACACCTCCCTTAAGTGTAAGCGGCGCAGAGCGACGGGTGAATGCACGCACGAATCGAGCCGAATTCGAAAGACCCCCGCTGAGCTACAAGGGATGCCGGTAGATACTAATTGATCAAAGTCTCCGATGTATTTAAACGCAAGTGCATCGGTCGTGTCTCGGACGTTTCGACACGATGTGGGTTAATTGCGCTTTATTCGCGCTCGTGCGCGAGTAATTAGCCAAAATAAATGCGGCACACGCGTTGGTAAATATACCGAGCATTGAGGCAAACAATGAATAGCTATTAAGCGCGAGCCGATACGAGCGCAGAGAGAGATAAAGACGAGTTGGCCTTCGAAGTTGCACCAATCGTCGACTATACGCTATTGCGAATGAGCGTCATGAATATTTTGATCGCGATGTAGTCTCGCGTACACGCGTGACAATTTACCAACTGCATCATCAGAAGGTTACACTCACGTGCTATGTGTAGTTGGAAACTAGACTCGTGTAGAACGTGTGTAACGTACGTTGGTACGTACATGGCACACAGCTCGTACAGCCCCTGAAAGCTCTCAGAGTTCAATCGCGCGCGAGCAGCAGCAGCAGCAGCAGTGGAGCGAGAGAGAACATGAACTTTGCTTCGGCATACAGATGTTATTGCACACAAAAGTTCCCGTTTTCCCTCTGCTTTCTGGCCAATTCTACCTATGTAGTAGTAGTCAAAAGCCGTGGCTGCACTGTAGCAGCAGTATCTTACACGATAGCTTTATCGAACCGAGGCTTTATATATAGGCTACGCGCTCGTACGTATCGGAAAGCCCAAAACATACGACACTGGAATACGCAGCTGGAAAAAGGAGTTTCGCGCGGGCGCGTGTAGCTACGGAATCATTTTTCGCTTACTTCGCCACCGCCAACTCCTTAAACGCAATCTCGAAAGCTCCGCGCACTCTGTGTACTACCGCTATACGACTGTTTCGATCGCCATGGCAAATGTTCAAAACCGAGAAAACGGTGCATTGCGTAGAGTACATAGGGCCTCGAGCTTTATACACGAAGCAAAAAATAGATATATTCGCGCGCTCGCTGCGAGGATAACGCGTCCTTGAAGTTATAGAAAATAAAGGTTTCCAATGTATAGATAGATACTATCGCATCCCCCAAACTGCAACACGCCTGCCACGGTGGAAACACACGTACACCACACGCGCACGAGCGAGCGAGCGAGCATAAGAAATAGCTGATAAGAACGCCCGAGGATATGTACATGCTGCTGTCTATATAACCGAAAAGCGCCGCCGCTGCCGTATTGCACGTATTCTCGAGGAAGGTGTATAGCATGTATTTCGTGTTCAGAAGAGAGAGAGAGAGAGCGAGGCGGAAAACTATGTGAATATAGGTACCGAGGCAGGTTTGAAAAGGAAAACCCAAAGCCAATCTGAGCGCGACGTGGGAAAATTGAGAAAAATAGTATCGCATGTATGTGTCGAAAACAAGCAGATGAACAAAGACCAACGTATGCTAGAGCAGAGAGAGAGACAAAAACGTGCTTTAATTTCAAACCACGCGTATCTTTGATAAATAACGTCTCGAATGCCAAGTTATATCATGAGGGAAGATAAAAGTTGGCCGAAAAATAGAAGAAGAAGAAGAAAAAGTCGAATTAAAATTATTCATGCAAATGAACAGTTCACTCGCACATTGACATTAAAAATATATAAGTATATACGTATGGAAAGCGCGGCTAAGAGAGAAGGTGTAACTAAGCCATATAATTTCTATGCAAAGAAAAGTTCAAAGTTGCGCCGAGGGGGAAGAAAAAATTTTTACCTACTCCAGTAATTTTTCATCCCCGAGCGAGTTCCAAAAAACTTCTTTGTTACGTATATACGCGCGCTGCTTGCACACGCTCAAGAGAGAGAGAAAGCTCGCCCACGTGCCAAAGAGTTCCTGCCTGCAGTAGTGGCACGCAGATCTTTTGCAGTTGGCAGTATAACCGAAACTTCGCGAGCGAAACTTACGTTTGAGAAAACTTTTTTTTTCGGCTGCTTTAACCGAAAAATAAGTTCGCGCTCCTTTTCGTTTTTTTTTTTTGCTGCTCGTCGACGGTCGACGAGCGAACGCATATACAAGCTCTCGGCTTTAGATAACAAAACTCTGCTTCATTACAAGCGCGCTTGCGTTTAAATATTTTTCCACTCTTTCTCCGTCTCGAGTTCTGTCCGTGCGCAACAGAAGTAGCAGTCGTAGTATACACAGGTACGTTTGATTCCGACAGTCGCTCGTTTAATGGGGGGAGGCAAGAAGCGATTCTAATGCGCGTCAATTTTCCAACTTCGGCTCGCTTGATTCATAAAGACTTTTCAACGCTTTGTGAATCGAATAAAGAGAAAGAGGAAAATAGAGAGAGAGAAAGACTGAAGATAGGTCGAGCGCACCAGGATAAAGTAAGGTAAGAATCTTTCTCTGTCTCTCGGGCGCGCGCGCGACAGCCGGAAAAAAGACAATCATCGTTACGCCGCCTCTCTATAGATCCACAAATTGTACAGCAGAGTATATACACAGAGACCGCCGCGACTTTGCTGCTGCCGCTGCTGCTGCGCTGTATAGAGCGCAGCGTGAACGCCCGAGTAAAAGTAAGGCAATTACCCAGAAAATAGAGGAGAAGATCGTTGAATCGAAACAACCGTGGGATGATCATTTCTCTTATCTGTCTCTGAAATACTCCTGCGCTTTAAATCTTGCGCTGCTATTTTTTCGCCCAACAAGCTACGTACTACACAGCTGCAACCGTCACTTATTTCTTTCTCGCTTATATACTTCACTCGACTCTGTATCCATACAACCGGATCAACTAAATTGCATCCTCGAAGTCTTATTTACGAATCTTTTATTCATAATTCGATTTAAAGTGCGTCCTAAAAGAAAACTCGTCTGCAATCAGGACAAAGAGCTCTATTTTTTCATCAAATTCAAACGGCGATATTATTTACAGATTGCAGATTACCTAAAAAGAGTAAAAAGTACGATAACGAAGCGCAAAAGAGTCGATCGTATACTACTCCAATGAGATTTACACTTTTAGAGAGCTGCCACCTGACGGAGGGGTCAAAAAGCGATCGCTGTACAATATTTATGCGATTACAGAGTCAGTCGCGGTAGCAATATGGCATACACAGTACAATACTCTCATTCTCTTTTCTCTATATATATATATAAAGTCAAATCAAATTGAGAGACCCGCGGGGCACGAAATATCGACATCGATTTCGCGTCATTGTCAAATACAATATCTACTCTATATACATTATAGAGTAGAGGGAGAAACTAAAGCTCGATTGTAGTCAACTGAAAAATTCCAGCCTGACACTTTTATTGTGCGCATTCCAAGTATATATAGAGCGATGCGATAAAAATTAAACACGCTCCGCGGCAATAATAATAAAACGAGCTGCGAATCGCGCAACGAGGCGAAGAATTCACCGAGGTCTCCCCGGGCTCGCGACATCCCTCAAAGTCTCTCTTGGGTATAGTCGACGCGCGCGAGACACAAAAAACAAGCAAGCAAGCAAGCAAGCAAGCAAAGGAAGGCAAGGGAGCAAAAGCTCGACTTACCTTCGTTGCACTGGGGCACGTAGCCGCGTCCCTGGCGCTCGGATATGCTCAGCATCTCGGCGAGCATGCGATTTCTGTGACAGGCGCTCAGTCCCGTCGGTGTCCTGCAGACGCCCCCGCACTTGGCGGTGGTGCAGCACTTTTGCGGATCCGGACAGTCGAGGTCGTGCTTGCACCTGGTCTTGGCCTCGCAGTCCTGCAGACGGCTCAGGGGACAGTTGCCGGGCCGCTTGATCTCGACGCTGTCCGGGCAGCAGACCCCGTACTCCTGATTGTACTCGACGAGGCAGCGGTAGAGGGGCGGACAGGTCGGTTTACCCGGGCTGTCGCCGCACAGGAAGGGCCTGGGCGAGTCGGTGATCTGCAGAGGCTCGCCTGCCGGGCACACGTTGGCCAGAGACTTGGCTTTGCGACAGGACGGCACCGGTGGACAGGGTGGTCGAGCGCAAGGCACGTCGATCAGTTCGCAGGTCTGCGAGCCTCCGCCCGGGCAGACGACTCCGCGGCAGGGATCTCGACACTCGCAGCGAGGACAGCCCGTTGTGGGCTCGATCTGCAAAAACAAAAGTACATAAAAGCGCACTGAGTTTGATTCGTAATCGTAAGCAGGACTTTTAAATGCGCAATAACACAATGTATTATATCGAGCATCGAACCAACAAGCGCTGCGTAATAACCATTCGGCTAATAATAATAAACGTCGATTCGCCGGGCGAATTGGCAAAGAAAATAATAATCGGTTATGTGTATGCGCACGGGGTGCTCGAAATGCTCCAACATTAATAGGGCATAGCATTGTATATGTATACGCATACATTTATATATAGCCGCCGTTGCCGCTGCAGCATTATAATATATAGTGCCGGGGCGCGCACACGTCTCGACGAAATACAATATTGGCCAATAATGCATGAATGCAGTCGTTATATTCTGATAGATATCTCTAATAGTCGAATCGGCCGCAGAGCAGTATTTACCGGCTTAATATTCCGCATATGCATGTGTTTACGCACGTGTGCACGGTGCACATAGTAGCACACAGTCGCTATATATATATACCGTAGCCCTCCCCAAAACGAGCAAGGGAAATGCCCAGCAAATGCTGATGTAGTGCGAAACTATATACATGCCAGGCGCGTATTATTGCAGTTGACCGGAACCGAATTCGAATCTACGCGTATTGTTGCATCTAGTTAACTTTTCGTCGAGAGCTGATCGAGCGGCCGATTAGAAAAATGGCCGTGCGTCTCTTGGGTTAATAATACAGCGAAGCAATCACTGCACTATTATTATTATTCGGACATTCGAAACCGATAAGAATAAACTAAACTCGAAACTAGGATAAAGTCGTTTTTTATCATTGAAATAACAAAGCCATAGAATTTATATAGATTCGTATTACGCCGAGAGAAGAAAAAAAAGTTGTAAAAAAAGAGGCGAAACTCTCGACGACTGTATATATTTCAAGTCGAAAGAGACTCGACTTTGAATTAACGAACGAGCCATGCAGTACAGCAGCGAGATAGACTACCGCGTGTGCCAAGGCAGAGCTGCAGCAGCGCAGCGAGTCGCGCGGACGATCCCAACTCCCAGTTGTGCGATAAAAGAGAGCAGCAGAACTCGTTAATCTGTATATACTCCGCGGGGCCGCAGCGACAAATCGCTCTTTGCAATTTGCTCCCCCGCCGCCGCCGCCGCCCCCGTGGTTTTATTATACATCTGCGGAGTCGAAGGGAAGCGAAATAAAGAAAACCAAATTAAATGGATTATTACCTCGAAGCCGAGCGGGCAGAGCATGCGGCACGTGTGCGCCGGGCACACCCTCGGATGATCGCAGTCGACCCGCTGCCTGGAGGGCGCCCTGGTGCCGGCCACCTCCACGCCGAACTCGTCGACGCACCAGCAGGCAGGGCCGCCCTCCTCCTGGCCGGGATCGCACTGGACCCGCTCGAACTCGCCGGTGGCGTTGTCGCAGCGAGGAATCAGCTGGGCCGGCCCGCGGGGCCCGAGAGCCCGGGAGCGACGACTCGCCGCCAGGGCCAGCTGCTCGCAGCCCGTCAGCTCGCCGGAGACGCATCGCTTGCCGCAGGCCGTGGAGCAGCAGCGCTCGACCGTGGCCAGGCAGTCGGCGTCGCTCTTGCAGCTGGCCGAGCGCGCCGGGCAGACGTTCTGCTCGTCGTAGGCTGGACAGCGTCCGACCGATCGCTCGATGGCGTTACCTGCAACGTCGAACCATATAAAGTACAATTAGCGATCGTTGTTATGAATGATTTGTGAGATTTATAAGAATTCAGCCAATTTGTTCCTATTGATCGTTGCAAACACGTCGAAAGTTTATCGCCGAAATTATGTACAATCGATTATTTACCTGTTACTATATAAATAGAGCATATTGTTGGTTTGTATCGAGAGTACGGGTCGATTTCATTTACGTCAGCAGACGTGAGCGATCGCCTCAATGGTCATAACCACTGCTCCGGATTTCTAAATCCAGTTCATTTATTTATGTACGAGTTATACGTTGTGCAGAGGCATTAAACTATAAAGAGAGACGAGTTGTGATACGGAATCAGAATTTCAGGACGTTCGATGCTCCTATACGTACGCGCCTTCCAATACAATCAGGCAGTTTGACCGTCACTCGATATTTCGCAAGTATTTAGGTTACGGATTCACCTTTCGAATAGCCGCAAGAGCGCCAAACAAGTCATTTGAATTTTCGTAAAGAAAGTCACGTGCCACGAGAACGAACGTATACAATTGCAGAAACGATCGTCTACGATCACTATACTGTATATTTTTGCCGAAGAAATTACCGACTTGGAAATCGGAACAACTGATTCCGATATCTTCTCTCCGAGTTGCTACTGCTGCTGCTGCTGCTGCTGCTGCGAGAGTCTGTATCGATTTTGCATTATTCCGACTTCTCTAATCTTTGGTTTCGCCTCGCGCGCGTATAACACATAAGAGAGAAGCGAAAGATACGCCGCTGCAGTCTCGAGGAGGAGTCGACGTCACGTATCCTCCGTATATATACGGCGTTTTCATCTCGAGAAATTTCCAAAATCCCTGTCTCGCACGCGCAAAACTATTTCTATATAACCTGCTTTACTATATATATGTGTCTATCTTTCTCGCTCGCTCTCGCTCTGCAGGCGAACAGCGTCGTCGTCGCCTCGTCTGTCGAGTCGTGCCAACATTTTTAAGCTCTATCCTAGCGCGCGATGACTTCGTCGCCGAGGACTTTTTTTGCTAGCTTCATTTCCAGATTCTTTCGAACTCGGGGGAAAAAGTAATATTAACAAGGTGCAAAAGTTTTTCTGCCCAGCTGCCGAAAGGAGAAGCTAGGAAAAGGAGGAAAAAAGTGACGCGAGTCAAGATCGCGCAGCTACTTGCTTCATCGCACCGGTCAATATTTGGGTACTCTTACGGCTTACATCTTGTATAGATATAGGCAGAGATGTATATATCGAGGAGCTCTCGAGTCTCTGTAGCTGGAAATTGTTAAAAATTGGCCTCGTGGCTTCGTGCGAGTGTATACCTAACGGATCCTCGACATCCTACTGCCACACTTATGGCTCGTCCAACACTTTTCATCGCCTTTCTTCCTCCTCCTCCTTCGCGAGCGCACCCGACTTGCCTCTCTCTCTCTTTATCTGCGCGTCTTTTTCTCAAATGCGTTACGTATTTTGCATGCCAGCAATAAAACGCGCGTGCCAACGGTTAATTCCTTTCTCTCTTTTTTCCGTTCTCCTTTCTCTCCTCACGTGTATAACTTGACGTCGTCGTCGTCGTGTTTTTTATTTATTTTTCTTTTCCCCCTCAACGCGATTTATCAAAACGAGCGAGCTCCTTTACAGGGAATTACAGGTGCAGTGGTTTATACATAAAACTTGTCCGGAAATTGCTCGAAAGATAGCTCGTAACACAATGATTTTCTTGACTGCAAAAGTAGAACAATCGCTCGTCGTTATACATCTATAGAATGTCGGGCAGGCGCGCAGCCCGAGTAAAGCCCGAGATTGATTGATACGGGCGAGGACAAAAAGTGGAGCCTCGGAGGCGTTACAGCGTGCCGAAGCAGCAGCAGCTCGCGGCGGCGCCTCTTCTCTCTCTTCCGCTCTTTCTCTTCCTCGGTATCATTATGAAAGACGTCGCTTTTTCAACGTTAACCCGAGGCACGCGGACGGCTAATTGATTCGCGTGCCGAGGAAGTAAAGTAAAAAGAAAAGAAAAAAAAGAACAGCGCGCCGCGCGGCTTATACAATTATTTCGCATGCTCCGCGAGCAAAAACGATAAAAATCAGATTAATCTTGCGTCATTATGAGGCCGCGGGTTGCAGTGTATATACGCGTGCCGCGGCTCAGGCAGCGCGTGTGCAACGATATTGAAGACACGACACGAGTCGTTGTCGCGCGGGAACACTGCAATTTGATGAAACTTTGCGTGCGCATCGGCGCACTTGCGCGCATCTGCAGTCTCTTCCTCTTTCTATGAGGATAAGTATACACGGAGCTGCTGCAGCGTTAGGCTTAGTGCGCGGAAACGTCGAGACAATTTATTTTGCGTCTTACTCCTAAATAAAGTTTGCCACTATACCTAGTCGAGTTTGGAATTTGGAAAATATCTAAGGAGGAAATTTTACGAGTAACGTAACGACTGGCATAATACGCGTTAAGCTCGAGTCCGTTAACTCGAAAGCAATGTTTTGAGTCGAGAGAGAGAGAGAGAGAAAGAGATGTGGCGTGGAAAGACGTGCCGAAAGTAAACTTGAATTCGGAAAATTATTGCTATGCTATGAATGATGAATCGCGGTAGGTGGGACGTATGGAAAACTTGGCCCGCGAGAGAGTCTACATAATAATATAAAAGCAGCGTACGCGCGGATGAAGTCAACATTTCAGGAAAGTTTTCTGCCGCGATTCTTCATTTCTTAAACATTATACATATCGAAAAACGGGCCTCGTTAAAATTCAGTATATATTCGCGCGAGCGTCGCTACCTCTTATATACTTATACACACACAATTGTTTGAATTTTTATGTTTAATGTTATACGTGTCTCTCTCTTTCTCTTTCTTGTGCGCGCGCGCGAATCTTATGAATAATACCGAACAGATGGCATAAACATAAATCTCGCAGGCTTCATTTGAATTTTACTTTCTGCGCTCGGGCGCTTCTACTAGCGCATCGCGACGAGCGCGGCAGTTACAAATTTATGTACAGAGAATCAGACGCTCTCTCTCACTCAAAGAGAGACAAAGTATCGACGCGATATAAAGCAAAAAAAGCCGAGCTTTATTTACTCGATGGAAAACGTATTTGCATATCGGCCCGCAGGCTACACTGTATACGCGGCTACAGCTGATAAATATTGCATATCCGATCGGCGAGGCTTTGAGAAACTCGATAGGTATACAGTTATTAAATGATGTTTGCGGGCGTTTAAATTTATTTATATATTTTCGCTCGGTGCGATGTGGTGGCAGCAGTGTTGGTGGTGGTGGTGGCTTCAACACACGGAGGCTTTCACTCAAGTGCGCTTAAACGAGAGCTCGCGGAAGGTCTTTATGTAAGCCAGACGCAATTCGCTGCATGTGCACATTACTCCCGAGGAGAGCGAGGAGCGCGTGGCGTGTATAATAACGCGCTATTATGTATCGGGCGCGTGTCTACGCCGTGGCAACTATAACTGCTATACATCCGCACGAGTCTAAAAGCGCCGTAAGTGACGAAACGCTTTTTTTTCTTTCACTCTCTCGTCAATAAATCTAATATATAAGTAGTTAGCTTTGTGTAACTTGTCGAGTGCCAGACTCGTATCTTTTTTCCCATTTATTTCATCCGCATTCGATCGACATCTATATTGCGTAATTCCTCAAATTCATCCCCATTGCTAAGTTCATCAGCAATTATCAGCGCCCTCGAGAGAAGAAGCGATTTTTCGCCACACGCCACTCGGAACTTGGTTAATTCCCCTCTTTCATTCGCTCTCCGTCTCACCCAGTGGCAACAACATTAGGTGCTCGGGCTAGATGAGCATACAGTAGTTGATGGAATGCCAGAGAGAGAGAGAGAGGGACTAGCCAAGCGCAGTAACTTTCTATATGTATCGAAAGTTCGCGTGGCGCGTTGATGGACGTGTTTCACGCGCATATAACTCCTATATACATATAGACATGGTCGTTTCCATCTTGTATGTATGTGTGTGTGTGTGTACACATGGAGCCTGCAATTCTACTGAGAAAGTTGAAGCCAGTAGCAACAGCGGCAGCAGCAACCTTAGTCATTACCAACGCACAACAGCAAATTCACCAGCAGTACATATAGCCATACTATACGCTCAAACAATCGTGCCTGCAATTAAGCATAGGCGAAACTTTGAAAATCTTTGCGTGCCGAGGCTACTTGTACGTTAGACAAGTACATTCTCGCGCATACTTCTTTTTACGAAAAATTTTTATCGATGCCGTTTATCGCCCACGCGCGTGTTGCAGTTCATTGTCTTTCCCCCCGCAGCCATGCGAGCTGCGATGCACATTGATTTCATCTTCCTCGTTTTTTTTTTCTATTTTCACCTTTTGTGCGAATATTTGGAAACATCCGTGGGAATATAGCGCGACAGTCTCGCGCGCGCGCGCGCCGCGACACACATATATTTTACTACGAATTTTATCTTGATTTTACGACAATGCATATACGTATACGAATAGCGCACGAACTGCGACGCGCGTTCGACTTTCGACAGTCCATGTGCTCAAAACTGTTTGCGTATATGTATGTGTGTGCACAGGCTCGGCCTACACCAGCTCAGCCATGTGCTCTCGCTGCGTAGTCATTTTTTATTTTTTTATTTTGCATTGTCTTTTTCCGACCCGTACGAACAACAAATTTTTTTTTTCAGCAACAAACCCAGAGTTGAGCAATGCCGTTTATTTTTTCAGCACCAGAGAGCCCGATGTTTATAGACCTAGTTTTGCAAAGTGTAACAGCTGCAGCCTATATATAATATGTACACACACGTTCCTCGCGGTAATATCTTTTTAAAAGCAAAAGTTTCGCGTTGTCGAGTTTATAACGCCCGCGCGCAGAGAGATGGCACAGTACTACACTAGTTGCGAGGCTTGTAGCTGGGCTATTAGAATTTAACTGCGCTGCTGCGAGGCGAACGCGAGAGGCACGCGTTTATGCGATGCGACGAAATGTGCGGAGTGGAGAA